CGGAGATTAGATTTCGCGGGGTTAGGTTATACCTCGGGCGCTGTGTTCTACGCCTCGTAACCATACATTGGAAGCACACGTGCTCGCATCGCTTCGGAGGAGCGAATTCGTGAATGGAAATGTACGTTGGGTGCTGGTGCCCGCGGTGCCTCCAGTTAAGCACGCGCCGCCTTCTACGCCTTTACCCGTTTCCTCCTTCGCCGTCGGGCCCCCCCCCCCACCCCCCGCCCCCGGGCCCCCCCCCCCCCACCCACCCACCGCCTCATCATTCAACCCGGCCCAGTGTCCCCCTTCCGCCACAATCCGATCAACCCACCGCGGGGCGGAGGGTCCCTCGCCCCCGGCGCTCGTAGAGCTCTTTCGACGGAAACAATTTCGAGGCCACGCGGCAGTGGTTCTCAATCGGGTCTATGGGCTCGCGAGGGCCGAGCGCGCGCCTAGGTCCGACGTTGCATCCCGATTGCCGGGAGATCTATTTGGGCGCATGCGCCGTATCCAATGCGCTTTCTCGTAGCCGTACGATCTTATCGAGCTTCATGAGCGGGAGTCAAGCCGAGATGCAGCGGAGGACTTTTACATGGATTCGGCTGTCGAGGCACATCGCGAACAATGATCTCATCGCAACCCCCCCGTCTCACCCTCTCGCCACGCCAATCCACCACCTCGCCCCACGAATCGAACCGAACAGCATCGTCACTCATTATGTCTGTCGCGCACTAGATCTCATCGATCCCTTTAATGACATTAGATGAGGCTGGCCACTTAGTCCGTTGGCGCTCCGTCTTGGAGCTGATATCGGCGTTTTCCGCTTGACTGTGAGATAAATACTCGGCGGTTACGGGCAGCCTTCGACGGGGCGTCGTTCGAATTACGCGGAATCTGCGGCGCTCCTTCGGAGAAGCATTACGTGGGGCGAATTTTTGAAATTTTTTCTCCCAGCCGCGCGAAAAGTATTCCAAGGACACGCATACGGAGGCTTCCTTTTTTATTTGTCTCCTGGTCCTCTAATGCTCGTTGCAGCTGCTTTTTAAAAATGCCCCGAGATTCGGTGGCGGCTTGTTGCAGTGAGAATTAAATTTTTTTAAAGTCTTAAATCGATCTTGCGCTAGCGGTGCTGGAAATTTGTATTTCTGATAATCATATTGTATGTAATGGATATTGGGTCGCGTGATTGCGCTCGCGAGACTGCTGAAAATAGTCTTTTATCGATAGTCGTATGTTGAATATTTGAGTTTAATGTTTTATATTAATTGAAAATCTTTTTTTCTTCAATGTTATTATTGACATTGTGCGATTCAATACTTTTATATTAAAGCGATACACCATTTTCTTTTTTCTCTGCTCTATACTATTATACGCATTTATCTCACGAATCATCGTTGCCAATAATCATCATCATCATCGTTATAATGTTGTTATTATTATTGTTGTTGTTGTTGTTGTTGTTGTTGTTGTTGTTGTTGTTGTTGTTATTATCATTATTATTGTTATTATCATTATTATCATCATTATAGTTATTATTATTATTGTTATTATTATTATTATTATTATTATTATTGTTATTGTTGTTATTATTATTGTTATTGCTCCGTTGCGACTATAAATAGCTTATAAATTACGATTGTACACACTGTACACGAGTCAACAGGTCGTGGTACGATAAAATTGTAAAAAAGCAAAAGATAAAAATAATAGCATTGACTCAACATTCGTTCTCGAAATCATTTTTACACCTTAATTTAATATTGCACTCGTAAACGTGAATACAATGATTAAGAAAGGTGAACGTAGATAATAAGCGTGACTAGCTTAAATCTAATTACAGCTAATTATAGCTCCCACAACGTTGTAAGACTTTATTTCTAATTTCAATGAAGAAGTAGTCTCAGCCTGAAAAGAATAAGAGTGAAAGAAGCGGCATAATGAATTAAATTGGGGAAAAGGAAGACGAGTAAAGAGATGAAAAGAGGAAACAAAAAACAAAAAAATTAAATATTACTCCGGATGTAAAGTTGTGCTCACTTGCTAAAGTGCTACAATGTTTATTCGGTATACAAGTTGTATGTTTAAAAAAGAAAAAAAGCAGAAGAAAGGAAAGAGAGGGAAAGAAATGAACGAAAGAAAAAACAAAGAAAAATAAAAGTAAAAGCGAGTCAAAAGTTAAAATAGAAAAAAAATAAAAACTTAAAAATCAAAAGCAAGAAAGCATGGAAAAAGCAATAAGCAGCGAACGTATAATAAAAAGGGGGGGAGAGAGAAAAAGAGCCAAAAAGAGATTAATAATAAAGCAAGCTCCAGCAGAAATGCGTCGAAGCGAGTCGCCGTCCACTTAGTGTCATCGTTGCGCCTCCTCGCACGTGCAGCTCCCCCATGATTTGCAGCTGCTGATTCTTCTTCTCCTTCGTCACCTCCATCTCCACCACCACCTCCACCTCCACCTCCTCATCCTCTTCCTCCTCCTCCTCCTCCTCCTCTTCGTACTACTCCTGGTCTGTCTACTACTGATTCACCCTCTCATTTTTCATCACAATGTTCGTCATCAGCATCATAGCCGTTATCATAGTCGTTATCATTGTCGTTATCGTTGTCATTGTCATTGTCATTGTCATTGTCATTGTCATTGTCATTGTCATTGTCATTCTCATTATCATTGTCATTGTCGTCGTCGTCGTCGTCGTCCTCGTCGTCGTCGTCGTCGTCGTCGTCGTCGTCGTCGTCGTCGTCGTCGTATATATATAAGATGTCTGGCATATAATAAGCGTGAAGCGTCGTGCGACCCCGACCTTGTGCGAGTTCAAGGTCAGGTTGGCAAAGATTGGATAACGCGTGTGCGTGAAAGGGTCGGTGGATGGATGTATGGGAGGGTATGAGAATTGAAGGGTGGGTATGGGGGGGGGGGGGGTTATGGGTAGGGGGATGGTAAGCGATGGTCGAGAGAAGCGGGCGAGTGGGTGGGTGGGTGTGAGGTGGGATTCAGCGGTGCGGCTTCTGGGACTCACCGTTGAGCTTGTCGATGGCCCGGTCGGCGGTCGACTGGTCGCAGCAGTCGATGAAGGCGTATCCGCCCCGCTTCACCAAGATCGTCGTGCATACGAGGCTGTGCTCTTGGAAGAGCTGCCTGAGGGCGGCCTCGTTGCAGTCCGAGGGCAGGTTGCCAACGTAGAGCTTGGACATGGCGAGCGCGGTTGGGGCTGCGGGCGTCTTCTCGAGCCTCGCCCTGGCGGGTCTCGGTGCAATTTTGCCGCTTGGTACGTGTCTTCTTGGTCCTCGTCCTTCGGGCAGGACTCCACCGGCGATCTATGGCGCAGGCGCACGACCCCCGTCTTTTATTCGGGCGCTACAATCTTCTCGGGCGCACTCCCTCCCACCCTCTTCGACTCTCTTCGGTTTCGTATTTGTCTTCGTTTCTATCTCCTCAGCTTACTTTTGTGCGGTCGACGTAGGCGGCACGTGCGCGAAAATTATCTCGCCTCTTGGATCCTCTTCTCGCTCCTCCTTATATCAGCTGCCTTGCTCCTTTATTCACGCGACTATTACCGTAGACAAAAAAAAACGCGCGAGCGTGCGCGCGCGGTTTCTCGTTTTTCCTTTATCCTCTCTTTCCTCCTTCCGTTCTCCTTTCTTGTTGCTTCTTAGAAAACGATGGGCAACTCTGTTGGCACGAACGTCGTTGGGATTTTTATTCGGCGATCGGCACTCGTACGTTTTAAATATACAAATACATTTAACATTGGATAAATATTATTTATCTTCGAGGACGCGCACAAGACTTGCAGTTTTACTAATACTAAATATTTCGCAGCTCTATCGTTGCTATTTTGTCTTCCCTCTTTCTTTCCCTCCCTTTCTCTCTCAATCTTTTTCTTTATCTACCTCTATCTCTATTTTCTCTCTCTCTCTCTCTCTCTCTCTCTCTCGCTCTTTTACTCTAAAACCCTTTTTCTCTCTCTCTCTCTCTCTCTCTCTCCTTCTAAAACCCTCTCTCTCTCTTTCTTTTTCTCTATTGCTCTCTATTGCTCTCTATTGCTCTCTATTGCTCTCTATTTCTCTCTCTCTCTCTCTCTCTCGGTCTCTCTCTCTCTCTCTCTCTCAATTTCTTCGGCGTTTTTCGCTCTCTAGCTCTATTAGTCTCGGACTTCTCTTGAGAGCGGCGCGTTTTTCCTTTATTTCCCTGGTTCGCCGCCACCTTCGCCTCGATCTTCTTCTCTTTGGTCGCTCAAGTCCGCGACTTTGCTCCGATCTGCTGCTACTGTTGCTGCAGGGACTCTGCTGCAAATCGACTCGCGGAGTCGAAAAAAGTCGAAGGGCTGCACTCGATCTCGCGCTACGTCCGACTGCTTCGCCTTGGCCGGAGACAGTTCAGCGGTGGCCTCCTCTCCTCTCTTACTCTCTCTCTTACTCTCATTTACTCTTACTCTTACTCTCTCTCTCTCCTCTCTCCTCCTTCCTTCCTTCTTTCTTTCTCCTGTACTCTTGTTACGCAGCGCTGGGCGACGTCGTCGGTCTATGCGATGCAAACTCGTTTCCTCCCGAAACCTAACCTCCGGCTGACTCGCGGTTTCTTCTCTCTCTCTCTCTCTCTCTCTCTCTCTCTCTCTCTCCCTCTCTCTCTCCCTCTTATCCTCTCCCTCTCTCTCGCTCGTGTGCGCAGCTTTTTGCACACTATTTTTTCGCCAACAGGATAGTGCCGCTTGGCCGTCGGCGCCGCGACATGCATATGCGTTCGACCTGACGGAGGAGCGAGAGCGAGGGAGAGCATGTGCGCGAGAGAGACGGGGAGGGGGAGCGGACCGGGTGCCTCAGCTGAATCGAGGCACCGTCAATTGGCGGAGAGGCTGTCACGTGGTGTACCCCTGTGTTCGCGGAGGCCCCGCAGCGGCCCATTGGCCGGCCGTTTTCGCACGCCGGCGCGCTTCTGTTATTCGCTGCTGCGCCCGAATATTTCTGCATCGTCCTCTCTTTCTCTCTCTCTCTCTCTCTCTCTCTCTCTCTCTCTCTCTCTCTCCCGCCCGCCCGTGTGCAAAATCTAACGGGTGTGTGAGCGACGACTAGCTGTTTATCGTCGCTTCTCTCTGCGAGAGGAGTTTCATCTTCTACGGCCCAGAGCGAGAAAGAACGATATGGAGAGAGAGAGAGAGAGAGAGAGAGAGAGAGAGAGAGAGAGAGAAAGAGAGAGAGAGGTCGAGCTGGAGGGCGGTTGGGAGGAACACGGGGCTGAAGCAGCTGCCCGCGCACCGGCTTAGCCGAACTTGGCCCGTACAATGCACGCCGATGGATTTCTAAACAGGCGCGTTCTCTCTCTTCTCTAAGGTCGGTGGTGGGACGCGTGTGCGCGAGCCTCGAGCCACATGCACGCACGCACTCACCTATACGCGCCCCGTAGGTAGTGTGGAGGCTTCGCGTGCACGCGGCTCTCTTGGGAGAATCGAGAATCTCGCCGCTCTTTTCAGCAGGGGCCGCCTCAGCTACCTGCACGCGCGTCTCCCCCTGCGCGCGACTCGCGAGACTTTATGCGGCTGGGGCTACTTGCCCCCCCCCCCCCCCCCCCCCCCCTCCGCGCTACCGACCATCGCGGCCCATCGCCGTCTTCGCATCAAGTATGCCAAGATTTCGCAGCCCTTGGACAATAATACCCGAACGAGCTTTCGCTGCCCCTTACTCCCAGCACTTTTACTCGCGTTTACGTGCCCTCCCCATTCCACACAAATACGCTTCGCAAATACCTTACACAGCCGACCTCCTCTCCTTATTCCTTATTTGTTTGCCTTCGCTTACAATGATCCGGCCCTGCATGCCCTTCCTCATCTACTTCTTCAACATTTCATTTAATAACTCTGTCCCCCGTTCATTTTCTGGCCACCTATCCGTATCGTTCGATCGATGCCGTCGACATCGAGCTCCCTCATTCTCATCAGTCTCCTCTACTTTCACCTTTTTATCTATTTGTCTATTTCTCTATTTGTTTTTCCAACGAAAAACCTTACCTTTTTTGCTTCTACTACGTAATATGAATATGTGTCAATGTGCTCGTGGCTGTTCCTCTAGACGATAAGGCTTTATCGATGATTCATTCATTGACCATCGATAGGCAAATTCTTAACGTTAACGATAATGTTAAGATCCGCATAATGTGAGAAGGATCATCGGAGCGAATTTTTCGAATGTTCCGTAATTAATTATTAGATTTTCACGAGCGATTAAGCTAGTACGTGCCAAAAATTACGGCGCTAATAATGAAAAGATCTATGGCTCGCGTCTCTTAATCCTTATTTATTAGCCATTGAGTTAGGAGAAAGATGAGAATGGTGAGAAAGGTAATGGGATTCGCGTGATTTCATTTTCAAGTTTTAAATAAAGTTTCATCCACTCAGACACGGAATCACCCTCCCCCCCCTCATCCTCCTCCCCTCTCTCTCTTTATATATCTCCCCCTCCCACCCCCACCTACCTACCTATGTAAGTACGCAAGCACATAAGACATTTCTCCGACATTTAATGTACTGCAACGTGCGCGGAAATTCTTCTCATTCGAATAAAAATGTTTTTTAGACCGTTTGCGTAAGTTGGAGAATCGCAAAGTTTTGTTTGATTTTAAAGTTTACGAACAATCTATTTCCTCGACAAAGAGACTGTAAATATATAAAGTATATTTAAATATTATTCCTTATTAAGCCAATGTATGGCTAATAATTTTTGAATTAATCGATTTATATTTATATTGTACTGGAAATGAATATTTATCCGTAAAGTATGAATGGCTTATTTCATTCTCAAAGACGTTTGTTCAAACACGTAATCATATGATATTTAATTATCAATTCTTGGAAAATAAAATAAATTATATATGCAATAGTGTGTAGCGACATTATTGTAATGATCCACGAATCTGAAATTATAATACAACGCAAGTAACTGTTTGTTGCCTCAAGTATCAATGTGATCATGAATAGGGAAAAAACAATTTCGTATTCTACGATCATGTAATGAATGTATTTGAGTGAAACATGCGAATTTATTTCGTTCATTGATAAGAGAGTTCTTTTAGTACTGTATACCAAGTATTTTCACATAATTTAGAACTTTAATGGGCGCGTACGGTGAGTACGGTTTGCGTAGCTCGTCATCGTATTTTTGGATGTCTTTACGCTATTTCAACTTCTTCTTCTTCCTATTAACTTTGTAATGTTTATTAATTTTTTAATGCCTCTAAATAATTATATGAGGACAGAGTGAGTCATTGTGAGAATAAATTTTGAGAACGTTACTGGGCTGAGCGTTATTTCATATTCCGCGGCCTCGATAAATGACAAAACACCAACAACCACCTCATCACATTTTAATAACTAAGCCAATCGCAAATGCCTTTATTACACATTATCTAATAAAATGTTCCTCGATGTAATAACAATGGATAATTGTCGCTGTCGCCTGTTGATACATCTAACATAATATAAAGGACAAGCGATAATCGTAGTAACGTGGGAGGAGCTGAAAACATTCGGATGCAAGGCCTGTAAACGTAGACTAGGACAGTCATCGAGAACCATGCAAACACGCATTAATCGTCCGGCTTAATTGTATGAAATAAGGTCGATGCCCAACTCTACACCTCGATGAGAAAAACAAGGTGAATGATATTTGCATCGGCGCCCGGTTAATAATGCAAATCGTATTCCGATAATCCGCGATACGTTTCATAATTGTTCGAGCGAGCAGCCAAGAGAGGGCAAAAAAGTATTTGTACATGCATAGAAGAGTAGAGCCGATCCGATAGGTGGGAAGAGGAGCGAGAACTGCGACGACGCTTGACGAGTCTCGAAAAATAAGTTTTGCGAGCAGCGATGCGTCGCTGTACGCAGCACCAAACTGCCGTGCTAACTTGGCAAACAAGCCAAAGAGGAGGAAAAATAGGAACTTCATTTGAAGTTCATATCTCGCATCTCTCATCGACTTCAGCTTGAGAAATGTCGGAGCGATGAACCGTAGTCTAGTGTAGTTTTTTGAATAGGTAAAGAGCGCGGAGAGATAGAGAGAGAGAGAGATAGAGAGAGATAGAGAGAGAGAGAGAGAGAGAGAGAGAGAGGCAATTAGGTACCACGGGAAAGCGACACACGGTCGCGAGTGAAGTAGAGAATTTTGCCTTCGGTTTGCAGAAATAAGGCTCTAGTAAAAAGAGAGAAGTAGAGGCATTGTCTTCCTGCACGATCTACCGGGTGTTTCGTCAGCCCCCCCCCCTCCTCAACCCCAACGCACACACATATATAGTTTTCTCCCTCTTATATATATATATATATATATATATATATATAGAGAGAGAGAGAGAGAGAGAGAGAGAGAGGCAATTAGGTACCACGGGAAAGCGACACACGGTCGCGAGTGAAGTAGAGAATTTTGCCTT